CAAGAAACATATCTTTGAAGACTTGAGCTGATACGCCAAGTGCAAACGCGCGAGCTACAGGCAATAACCAGCTAACCTCCTGGTTTGCGAAGCCATGCAGAGAATCGATAAAGGAAGATCTGGAAGAGAGTTCGGCTGAAGTCACCAAGGCTGGGAAGAGCATCTGCAAAGCTTGCGGGAGATTCGTCAATTCAGAAACAAGAAGGCTTCCCTTCGTCATCCTGACGTAACGGATACTTCATCTCGAAAGGCAATGAAGAACGTCATCCACAACTTCTGCACTAATTTTTTCGACAGCCACGTATGCCTGCCTACCTACCATCTTAGGCAAGACAAATATATATCTCTCCTTCGGTTCTCCCTTCTGAAATACGAATACGACATGCCATCACGTCGATGAAGAACTGTACGGCGCCCGGTAATGATAGGATCAAACCAGAACATCTGAACCTCCACCAGTTATCGTCAGGTCGTTCTCTGGCTAGGCTCTGCTCGCGCTACCTGTCGGAATGCAAAATACCCACGACTTGAGTGAGTGAGAACGGGCAAGGCTTATTGCTCTATAAGAAGGGAGATCCAGACGATATTAGCAATTATCGTGCCAATCTGCCTGTTGTCTGTCCATCCATACGCGTCACCCTCAACAGCATTGGCAGAAAATGAAATGGACAGTCACGCGAACAAGAGGGAGAGTTAAAGGCACAGTTCACGATGATTTTGGGAAGTCTAGATTATGATGAAAAATTGAAGACAATATCAAAAATAGTGCGACGAAGGTGAAGAAACTGCGTGAATCGGTGTGCACAAAGTGAAAAAGCCTTCTAAGAACCGTTTAACAGAGGACTTGACGAGAGTGAGACCAGAAAAATGAAGAAGAGTGAGGCATTTGGACGAGCTATACAATGTATCTCACTGCGTACGTGTGGGTCCTGGTGCTAATAACAGACTATGGTAAGCAAAAATTCATTCACGTATAAGCATAAGAAAATAAAAACCCTGGTAACAGCAAAATCAGCTCACCTCTTTCAGCCTCTAGGAGTGGGAAATTAATTAAGGGATCGCGGCAGCAGAAAGAATAAAAGAGGAAAAAAGAATCGGAGAAAACATCGCCTCATCACTCGGAGATCGCTGATTGTGTGCGGGTCCTAGAACGAATAGTTGCAATCTGTTTTGTCTAGACACTCTTCTGACGTGAATCGATCGAGAGGCGGGAAAGTCTTTGGCGATCCTGCCCATTGAATTATTGTGAACTGTGCCTTTAAGTACGATCGATCACACCACACGGTCGCAAGACTCATTGAAGTAGAGAGCGCAGAATGCCGTTATGTCTTACGTTGATTAGTTTGTAAAAGGCCTTCGATGCCGTCGAGGAAGGATAGGTAATTGCAGCCTTGGGCCACCAGGATGTTCTTGCTTGATAAATAAGGATGATTTATGAGCTCTACATCAAACACATGAACAGGATCTCGTCATTCTGTAAAAAAAAAAGTCATCATCAACGTGAAGAGGGGGTAGGGGGTCGACAGGGCGATACACTCTCCCCTAAACTTTTCAGTTTCGACCTCGAGAACGCCATGCGTCATATGGAATGGGGACGCATGGGAGTGAAGGTCGACGGCCGCAACTTACACCATCTCTGCTTTGCAGACGACTTCGTGATCATAACACCTAACTCGAGCAGGAATTATATATACCGGCCACATCCGTCAACGCTCGTGGAAGGATTGGCTTACATTTGTACTTAATTAAGACGATTTTCATGAGAAACAGGTTGGTACCTGATGCTCCTTTCGCGTAGAATGAAATGAACGTCTCAATCTTTAGCTACGTGTGTCTAAGCAGAGAAGTCAATATGATGAAAGACATAGCACCAGCGTTGAGCAGAAGGAAACGCGCCGCGTGGGAAGCATTTAAGAATATCGAGGGAGTAGTGAAAACGACAAAGAACGTCCGGCTCCGCGCTCACCTTTTCGAGACTGCGGTCCTTCCTGCTTTGACATACGCCTCAAAGCCTCAGGTTCTACGAAAGCAGGTAAACGCTCTGTGGGAGGGGCTTGGAATTTCTTAATCGCGCAAGTGCAGAAGGAAATCGGGAGTTCCAAACTCCGTCAACAAACGAAGATTAGGGATGCCACTGCTTACGTCAAGAAATAGAAGAACAGGTTGGCCGGACATGTTACGCGATATCATGGTGGCTGTTGGACCAAGGCGGTTACGGGCTAGATCCCTATCGACGTCAAAGAAATACCAGAACGACCGCCAGCGCGACGGTCAGACTTCTTCACGAAGACCCTGAATGAAAGGAATATTCCGTCCGTGTCCCTCGAGCGGGTGCGGTTCATTGAACTACTCTGGCTCCGGTGACGAACGAGTGGTGACGTTTCTGGTGCTCGCTCAAGAAAATCGATGGTCAGCGGGATGACAGGTGATACGTTGACCTCTTCAAAATTCGAACGCTATAGGTTCAGAAGGATAGGAGTGATGAATTACTGGTCCAACAGATACACTCACATACACAAATATACATATATATATACATATATATATAGTCACACTGAGCTAATTATATATATATATATATATATATATATATATATATATATATAATTAGCTCAGGGTGACTGTTGGTAGTATGACTCATCCACAAACAAGCCAACAGACACATTGAGCTAATTATGTATCTTATCTGATGGTGGGAAATGGGTTGCAAAAGTCCCATTTGAGCATTGCACCAGCGAGAATCCTGTAGCATACACGTCGTGTAAGCATCCTATGCAATGAGAGCCACATGAGTGATGCCGTCTAGAACATGAGGGCTTATCAAGTATAATCAGATCATATCCTCCCTATATCTACTACTTCATTAATGTTCTCTAAATAGTTAGTTCACATTGAATACGCAATCTTCTGCTTGATTTTTTCAGGCAAAGGTCTTTTCGACATCGTCGGGGCTACAGCTGGATCCTGCAGGTATTACAAGGTGGGGAGTGTACGGTGGTCAGGGCGATTGTGTTTCCGGTCCGCCGCGGCCCTTATGCCATTGCAAAGGCAAACCATGATGACACTCACACATTTGTTTTGTTACTGTACGAAACACTTTTGTAAGCCTCCGTCACATTCTGTGTTTTCTAACTTTTTAACATCTGCAACTATAACATCAATGATGAATGAAAAGTGAAAGCTTTGTTTAGTATTCAATATCGTTTAATATTCTTACAAACATTCCATGAAACCATAACTGCGACTCTAACTAGTTAGGCGATGGTTTTTGTCACGATTTTGTATTTCTTGAGAACGAGAGCGTAACTTTCGCATGCCCTTACAGTTACCGCAGCTGGAAAAACCTATTGATTACTCTAGACGATGGACAAGTTGCCATATAACCAACCCACAATACATTATTTCTATGCACCGAACTATCTATGTAGTCGGCCTGTTGAATATTAGGTCAGACGGTCGCTATTTCACTCATCGAAAATAAGGCGCTCTTTAAGAAAGAGATCGTATTCAACGGATCGTTGGGAGAGTGTTTGCGATATTTGAGTGTTTTAAAAAACTGTTTATTCCGCTCAGAAATCCTATCGAACTTCCCATTTTTCGGCAAAAAAGAAAGAGGAAAGGAGAAAGGGAATGCACCATCAGCTCCGATGAAGGGTGTCTCTTCCAAGAAGTTCTGCCTTAATCTGAATAGGTAGTGTTCGAAAGGCGGGAGGTCAAGACCAAATAGTGGATGGATGCAGTGTTAATTTTCCAACAAACTTTAATAAATTTTGCCGAGTCACGACCTCGTCTCCACATAGTCCAGGATTTGAACTGTCTGAATTTGGGAGGCTTTTCCAGAGGCTTGATCAAGTTCTAATAGGCAGAGGTCCGAGTTAATATTCTGGCTCCTTCAGAGCACTTCAAAGTATTATTATAAGTTCGCCGAATCGACGGCGAGACCTTTTTCTATAAAAGTCTCTGGACCCGTTGGAGCAGGTTCATGCGGTATTCGTCATAATAGCTGGCAACTGACATTATAGTCAACATCCCAACTTTATCAACAGCTACTATTCGATCCATGAAGGAATGGTCTTCACTACGTTTGGAGTGTGAAGCGCTCCTACTATCGTGCTGTGCCATGTGAATCGCCTTCAGTTCATGTGACACCTGAACAACTAATTTTCTAATAGTCCAAGTTTTTTTTTTGCTGCACTCGTAGATTTCTATGGATGCAACGGCCATCTCAGCAGCTTCTAGTATCGTCACAGACAGTCAGCTTTGGTTAATGCCATCAAAAGATCATCATTATCAATGCCTACTGGATTTTTGAACTGGTCCTAGAATTACAGAGTAATCACTTTTCTACTCCAGCAATGTGAGGTAGTAAGATCTTCCGTCTATCTTATAATACTTTATCAGAGGGATCTCCAGTCGAAATAGACGGAGAAAATGGCAAAAGCGTCAGTCACTCCCTCTCAATTGACAGTAGCCCTCAATCCACAACTAAATGACTTCGTATCGGTTTTTGAATGTGCCGTTTTCGTGATAGTCCCCAATCTTCGTTTCTTCCGATTCTTTGCATTTTGTTGCTTATGCAACTAACCACTGCATTCACCTGTTGTCTCATACATCACGCCCTGCGACCTAATCCAACCCTCCGAGAAAGACAAGTTCGCTCTGCAGCCATCTAACTTTGCAGAGCGACTCTCTAATTCTTACAGATTAATCGCTGTGGGGCCCGCCTCCTCAATGTGGTTTGGTTCTTGCGCATTGGGTAGTTGTAATTGGTGGTCAGTCTGTGCACAGAATTGACAGAATAGAAACTTGTTGAGTTTCGAACCGTTGTGTTTCAAGCAATTCAAGAGGCAAGCAGGTTGCACGACAGTTGTCTGTGTCGTCTTCATCTCCTTTCATATAGAACAGTGTCGTTAGTTTTCCGCGACGAGGGCGCTCTGCATGCCGACAGACACCTCGTGAGGAGCGGAGCCAAGGTTTTGATGACAACGTATTGAAGGCTTTTAGCATGTTCTTTCTGAACCTCTGGAAAGTGGCGTTGCACAAATACTCGACGACGTGACTTCATGTCCAACATTGGAAAGAAAAGCTGAAGCATTGACATATTCATCGTGTCTGAGGTGGTAGGTGGGTGGTAGAGGTGAATGTTGAAGAGGTAGAATTCAAGGTCACTCTCCATTGCTCTTTTAGATCCAGTATTAGCAATATACGTGTTTGCGGCAAGGAATCTCATTGAGGCACTATTGGCGTGGAGCGCCAAAGCTAGGCTAATGTTGACGTATATTGTGGACAAGACAATGATGTAACGCGACAAGAAAATCGTGATCCACGCATTACATCATTGTCCGTGTTCGAAAAGTTTTCTTTCCGTTTCAAAAGAATCACTACAAAGGCTAGGCTTTCACGTAACCAATGTTACTAGGGACTCTCTGAAAGTATAGTTTTGGCCCAAACTAACTTAGAAGTCGAATTCAAGCAAGTCTACATAGAAACTACCCAATTCACATTGAGTCTCTAAGCCCGTGAAGCTGCAGAGTAGCGAAGCATTCAGGAAGCTGAGCCTCTAGAGACCAGCATTTTTATGAAGTCGCAGTTGATAACCGTAGGAATTATGTATAATCGATGCGATTGAATTAATATTAATATGCATGACTCTCTACGGATCTTCTTCGCTGAGTTCTCTCTCATTGAAGGATCTCCAGCCGGTTAATGGCAGCTGAGTTCTCTCTCATTGAAGGGTCCTCAGCCGGTTAATGGCAAAGCTACGTAGGGCGTCCCCAGGTGTCGGAGAGGGGAATCACGCCGACCAAAAGTCACCAATACTTGCCCAGAGACGAAGGTGGATCCAGGGGACGGACTCCTTGATTCTGTTGTGCTGGTCAAGTTTCTCGCAGGCATATCCACGCATACGTGCTTGGAGAGTCTGTGGGTGCAGCTGCTATCCTGCCCATCGATTCAGCCGAAAACTTGCATTCGAGTGACTGGGAAGTACCTGGGAGGCGGTTCGGACCGCCTTCAAAAAAATAAAGCCTTTGTTCACTTCGGAACCGCATGGCTTGCATCGGGAGTCAATCCAGACCTAATGATGCAAGCTAGGAAGATCAAGTACGACGTCATCGTACGAGGAGGGAAGGCATCGCCTGCTCCACGCTTTATTCGAGACTGGAGAAGAACTGTTCCTTGGAACATATGACAGCAGAGGCGTCGGCGGCGTAGGTGTCTCCGTCAATACGCATTCGGCCATGAACATCAATTCTTACCAGAGCTTAGCAACCTGAGCCGCACTTTTGCGATTAAGATCGTGATTGATCAACCCTAGCTCTAACCATCTTCGTTGCCTACGCACGAACAGCGAGCTACGAAGAAGAGATGTTGGAAGCGTTTTATATGGATCTGGACAGGGTGTACAGAGAAGACCGCACTTTCTTAAAGGTCATCGTCGTGATTCTAAGGCCAAGATTGATCCGCTCAAGAGCGGCTAAAGAGCTCCACGTTGGAACTCATGTAGGATAACGGAATGAGTAGGGTGAAAGGCTGTCCGAGTTCATCATGCCGACCTACACTACCCATGGCATTCCCAGAAGCCCTCTCATTTGCGATGGACGTGGGAACCACCTGGTAGTCCCATAATGAAAAAGACCACATCGTTTTCAACCGGAGATTTTGCCTGCTGTTGTTCCGAAGTTCTAATGGGATTGGACTATCAGCTCCTCCGCGCTAGTTTCTGCTTCTCAGTGCGTGAAGAGAGAGCCATGAAATTTAGGAAACGAAGCCCCGAAACTCCATATACTGAGACCACTTCGCTTCTCTTGCGAGTGAATGGGAAGATTGCGCTGTCGACAACATCGATGAAGAATACAACCGGCCCGTTGAACATCTTCACGATAGCGCTAGGAAAGCAAAGAGTCTACAAGTAGCCAAGAGACGACTCTCCTCGAAGACTCGCGAGTTGACACGCCAGAGTGGAATCGCGCGAGCTACATGCGAACACCAACAAAAGTCCGAATTTGCGAAGCTATGAAGCGATAAAGGAAGACCTGAAAGAGAGAGGAGCAGCGGTAATGGACGAAGCCGCTGAGTACGTAAAGAGCATTTGCAAAGCCCGACGGAGCTTCGCCAATCTCAGGACCATGATGACTTCCTGACGGAACAGTTACTCCATCTCGAAGGGCAATAGAAAATGGTAATCAACGACCTCTACTCGGATTTCTTCGACAGCCACGTCTACCTGCTTACCCACCATCTAGGCAAGACGAATATATCTCTCCTTCGGTTCTCCCTTCCGAAATACGACATGCCATCACGTCGATGAAGAACTGTACGGCGCCCAGTCCCGATAGGATCAAACCAGACCATCTGAAGAGTCTTCCACCAGTTATCCTCAGAACTTTGGCTAGGCTCTTCACGCGGTACCTGCCGGAATGCAAAGTGCCACGTCGTGGAAAACTAGCAAGACCGTGTTGCTAAACAAGAAGGGTTATCCAGACTATATTGGCAATTATCGTCCAATCTGCCTGCTGTCTGTAATCTATGTATAAGCTTTTCACTCGCGTCATCCTGAACAGGATTGGCAAAATATTAGATGAAGGGCAGCCATGAGAGCAAGCAGGGTGTCGGAGAGGATTCAGCACAATCGATCATATCCACACTCTTACAAGACTCACTGAAGTATCGCGAGAGTAAAAAATGCCGTTATGTCTTACGTTCATCGATTTGAAGAAAGCCTTTGACAATATCGAAACAGTAGCGGTAATCGAAACCCCCGGGCAACCAGGGTGTTCCTACTAAATATACATATGGGGATGCTTCGTGAGCTCTACGACAATTTTACGACCAGAATTTCACCATTCTACGAGGAAGTCATTATCAACGTAAAGAGAGGTGTCCGGCAGGGCGATACCATATCGCCTTTTCAGTGCCGCTCTCGAGAATATCATGCGTCATGTGGAATGGGGACGCATGAGAGTGAAGGGCGACGGTCGCTTCTTACATCATCTCCGCCTTGCAGACGACGTCGTGCTTACAACACATAACATCGAGCAGGGAGAAAGGATGTTCATCGAATTCGACAGCATTGGTGGAAAGATGAGACTGGACATGAAGAAAAAGAGGTCCATGAAGGCTGGTACCAGATGCTCCCTTCACGCTAAACGGAACGAATATCTCCGAATGCTCTAGCTATGTGTGTCTAAATCGGGAAGTCAACACGATGAACGAACTAGCTTCGGAGCTGTGCAGAAGGAAACGCTCCGCGTGGGGAGCATTTAAGAATATCGAGGGAGTAGTGAAGAAGACAAAGAACATCCGGCTCCGCGCTCACCTTTTTCGACACTGCTGCGCTTCCTGCTTTGACGTACGCCTCGGAGAATTTGGCTCTACGAAAGCAGGATGAGCATGCTGTTAACGTTACTCAACGCGCTTTAGAAAGGGCGATGCTCGGAATTTTCTATACACGCAAGTACAGAAGGGAATACGGAGTTCCGAGCTCGGTCAACGAACGAAAATCAGAGATGCCGTTGATTACGCGAAATATCGAAGGTCAGGTGGGCCGGACAAAATATGCGATATAGTGATGACCGTTGGACCAGGGCGGTTACTGACTGGATCCCTCGGGCCTTCAAACGAACTCTAGGACGGCCGCCAATGAGATGGTCAGACTTTTTCATGAAAGCTCTGAACGAAAGGAATGTTGATCCTCGTGTCCCTGAAGCGAGGACCACTCTGGTTCGCAACAGGGACGAATGGAGACGTTACTGGCGCCCGCTCGAGGAATCGACGATCAACGGGACGACAGGTGGCAGGTGAGGTAATACGCATGGCTCTCTTCAAACAAGGGTACGGTCGTCTACCAAATGATTTCCCTCCAGGAGGGATCATTTCCAGCACGGTAGGTGCCACGAGTCGAAAGATGAACTGTCAGAAAAAATCTTTTTTCTAGGAAATAAACTTACCACCGCACGTTATTGATATGCAGCATCTCCAGCCCCTCTTGTGTTTTAGGCAATATCGCGCACGAACCGGCTTCCGCGACAATCCCCTGCTTGTGCCGTCACTGCTGATAAGCACCCGATCAACATTCGACGTAACCTGCCGCCATCACCTGGCGCATACGTGTTTGTGCTTTCAATGGCAAGTTCGGGCAGAGAACTTGGTCAAAAAACTCTTCCTGTCGAGCATCACTCGCTTTCAGTTCCACACGTTTATTTTATTTTACTTTCTACTATCCCAGGCACTGAAGTCTTCTATAGGACAAACGGTTGGCATTCTGATTATTTTGCCTGAATCTGAATTCGAATGAATCATCCGAAGATTACTAATTGAATCGTGCATTGCCCTAGCAAGTAGCACTTGAGGTGTTTGAGATACGGCTTGGGTGTGCAACATATAATGATCATATTTTTGCATGACTTTAGCCATATATCATTCTGTAGGCTTTCGTTAATAGAAATATTTTAATCGTGAACTTTGCCTTTAAGTTTTTCTTGACCTGGACAAGCCTTTTGCTATCGAAGAGTAGTCTGCCTCAACTATTATTTGAAACCTTATTGGAAAAAACCTCAAAACCTATACCAGCGCATAACTTTTACTATAAAATAGTTGACTAGCAATTTCCTCTAAGATTTCTTTTTTTGCCCATTTTCTTCTTGGCTAAGTCGTACTGCAATGAAAACGCGTAGCGATCACTCTCAGCGTCATTTTTCTCACATGGCTGCCCTGCTGCCAATGGTAAGGGTAGACTCGTTTTAGATTCAGATTTATCTTTCTCAATTAATTGCCGGCTGTTTTCAGCCTCGACATTCGGTTGCTTTCATCGGTGACATCATCCCCATATGACATCCCCATATAATCGTATAGAGACGTGCAATTTCCGTAGATTCCCTGTCCGTAACTCACAGTGCATTCCCTTTCCAACGGAACTTGATTCCTTGCTGCATATAAGCTGCACAATAATTCGTTTGAATCTAAGAAGGAAAGCACATCAGTTCTCATGGTTCTTCGTTGGTTTGATTCTGTTCGCCGTGGCCAGTAAGAAAAGCACACCAGTGACCATCGTCGTTTACTGTTACTGCTGAAATAGAGAGGGGTTAGAGACTGAAAACCTTCAGTCCCAACTTCATGTATTACGCAAAGCCTGAAGTCCCCTTGTACCTGCTCTACTTGTATGTTTCGAAAGACGTGGAGCTTCAAGATTAGTAATCAAGGCACCCTATGTGCTGCACTTATGCAGAAGTGTCGTCGACATCATAAGGAACCATGAAACACATAAGCTGGAATTCTCGTCTTCATTACCACAAGCTCATCCTCTGAGTAGGCTATGGTCTGTTACTTGATTAGTACCATTCACTATAAGCACAACAGATAATGGGAATGGTAGCGAATAATGCTACTGAACAAGACGAAATTTGAGTTAGTAGCTCATTATGAACCGAAACTGTTGTTTCTGACTGGTCCACTAATTCCCATAATGCATAGATGACTTATGAATTTCTAAAATATACCTAGTAAAAAAATGACCTTTTGGCCTCTCACCTATCTCACATAGTCTCCCAATGCCGTACGGTAACGCTGCTAAAACCGCGAATTCGTGCAAATACGGGAGTATTCTTCGAACAGCGAGCCTGCCAGACCAAAAACATTGAAAATGCATGCTAAACTTTGTTTTCTCCCTGCTGCGATAATTGCTCTGAATGTTCGACAAAGTGAGAACTTTTTGGCAGTAGATAAGCATATAATTACATTCTGTGTGTCTCTTCGACATGGAAGTACCAGAACGCCCTAAATCAAAGATCTTTAGGACCGTCGTAGATCTTTAGGACCGTCGTCGCTACTCACGGTGCTTAGGCGTTGGCTCGTAAGTTGATGGTTTGCAGCACAGCTTGTAGTAATAGGAATGAAATCACCACAGTGGAAGGCTGGAGCCAGATAGGGAGCGTTTCGGAGTAGCCCTCATTGCTGATAAAGTGCGTGAAGCTCGCCTTGGTACGTCATGCCCTCGGCGAGGACAAAAACAGTAACTTTTAAATGCCTCACCGTCGATGTGACCGGAATTTGGTCAAAGAGACGACCAAAGCATTGCTTCCTTGGTAACTTGCATGAGGATTCTAATGGCCCAGTTCACGATAATTTTGTGGTACCCTTTTTGGGATGAAAAACGGAACTTTTGATGTAGAAGAGTACATCAGTCGCGAAGAGTGCGGGAAGATCAGCCTACTTCAAGGCTTTTTAAAACTAGTGGAAGTGGAGATCGCCATGACGGGATTGGCATGGAAGGGGTGTACGGACGAGATTTCACTTGTCCCCATTGCGCAAGGAGACGACTACATCGAGATGAAATAGTCAAGAACCTGCCTTCCTCTGTCCTTGTGGGTTATGCCAAGTTGTTTCAAATTCCTACATGGGGGTCTCTTAATATAGTGCAGCCTCTACTGAGCCGTTGAAACTCGGCCACCATGGGTGTGGCATTCACGCGATATAGTCTCTG